AGCTCTCTTTGAGCACAACCTGGTCCGAGTTCATAAAACGAAATAATAGTGATCAAGATTGCAATAATGTTGCTACTCATGTAATCTTTCAGAAATAGCAGTGGCTACAATCGTGACAAGACATAACAACAAATAATGATATTGTAAGGTATTACAGAAACTGAAAAACAGGTTAATATAGTTATTTTATTTCTCCAAACAATTACTCCCTTTTTCTTCTTGCTTAATTTCTTTAGCTCAAACATATATAGGTTCATACATCAATAAGCCATAGCATAAGGAGAACCGCGAACTCGAGGTCTAAAGTTGCTAAACGTTACCCGACTGTCATGCTTGAAAAACACCAAAACAGCAGACTTATTTGAGCCCGTAACAAGGATAATGCATTCAGGCCTAATACTTTTCATGAAGAGTGGACCACTCATCGTAATTAGATGCAATTATGTAATCTTAGGATCAAAACAGTAAGAAACAAGAAAGAAAAAGAAAAAAAATAAACAGAGAGTTAGAAGAAAGTAATATGAAATAAATGGAGAATACATATACATACACAATATCTTCCACTTAGCTCTGCCAGGATATAACCCTCTTCCTTGTATAATTCTAACAGGGAAATAGCCTCGTCCCTGCTCTTCACGACGTCAGAAAGCTTAGAGCCCAGATGTAACCGGCGGTCTATATGAGAAGCGGCATCTTTTGCATCAGTAGATAGATCATCACTTTTTTCCTGGATTGTAAGGGATAATAGTAACCATTACAAGGGAGCAAAAATAATTATAGTGGTACATGAAGACATCCTATCAAGTTTAACTCATCCATATCTCCATTGAAGAAGTCATTGTTCTGAGAAACAAAAACAGGCCAGCCGGTTTGATCTGTTTGACATAGAACCATTGAAACTATAGCTTACATGTACCAATTATTTTGTCAAACGATTTGGACACTTTCTTTTTATTATTATTTAAAGATCTCTAGAAAACTAGTTTCTGATGGTTTTATTTATTTCATTATCTAAAATGTCTTATACTTGAAGATATACATTAATTGCCACCATTTCGGCAAGGGATGAACCAATTAGCCTATAGTTGTCTGGTTTTCAGAAACTTGTGTATAAGAAGTTTGGAAACCTGAATTGCTGAATGGTATAAAGAACGACATCTTCTGCACATATTGGATGAGAATCCACAATATTGCATTAATGCTACTAAATGAACCTCAAAATTTCATAATCTTATTGGGCATTATATCCTTCCATTTGTAATGCTATTTTTAGCTGAAGTTGATCACGGTATTCACTAAATCTAAAACGCGAAACCAAAGAACCCTCGGCTTCAGCATTTCTTCACATATTTACAGCATATTACGTAGATATTTCCAGAGGAAGTGTTTCGAGTATGTCGATAAACACAGATGAGCAATACTGATGAAGCATATGTTTTCTTCTGATTTTAGTGCACTGCAAAATGAATTTCGAATGTACACTTCAGTACAAGTTAATGCTATGTCACTCTAGCTATTGATAATGAAACTACTCAGTTTTAGTTATAACCAACCATAACCTAATTGGATTGGTAACTTCTTACTGTTGACTAATGCTATTAAATCACATTAACTATACAATATAGAGCTGCAATCTATTTTCACACTATGCATAGAAGAATAAACTGAAATAAACAAAAGGACCTACTTCGGATGTGCGCTTTAGAATCAAAAGAGGAAAGGCTGGAAATAATGGCTCCTCATCATTGACCTCTTTGACAGACGGGACCAGTCCGCTGAGCAGATACTGACTAAAGACTAAGCCTGTTGACATTTAGGTCAAGATCAGACACCAGTTCCTGATGCCCAATGCATAATGAAGTATGCCACTACAAAATTTAAAGCAATAAACTCAGAAGGCACATAAAGTTCATATAGAGCATGTGAAGAATAATGGGACCTATTCGGTTCGCACATCTTTCCTCTACTCATCCCCCTTATAAATAATTCAGAACGCGTTGGGCCTAAGTGGCAGCTTCACATGCTTCGTAATCTTAGCGCAGAAAAACTTACTAATTTTTTATACCAAATATGTTAGGCTAAGATTTCCATAAATACACATATGTGATATATTTAAACCATTCCATATAAATCTTCCTTTTTTTTCTATAATGTGAATATTATCTCACTGTCCAAATTTTGTCCTCCGTCCATACTATTATCTTCTGCGTTTTGAATAAAAATATTAAACTAAAACTACTGATATCGTATATAATTAGTTTTCTGAATATTATGTATATAAATTAGTTTTCGGAATTTAAAATAATATTGTAAATTCATTAGTTCTTTATAAGTAGTTATATATTTATTTTTCTAACTTGAATAAAATAACTAAACACTTTTATCTTTCATTTTTTGTTGTACATTTAATTATTTTATCAAACACCCGTGTGGTACACGGGTTTCGTACTAGTAAGTAAATATAGCAATATGTTAAAATGCCAAAATGATACATATAGCATACTGGATGTTGTAAA